ATTTTTCTATTGTCTCCCTTATATTTAGCTGAAAAACTTCAGACGTGTCTCTAACTATTGAGCAAAGTTTAAAATATAGAACATAGTGCTGGTGATGTGGAAGGTTTGCTGGTGATGAGAATCGATATCGGTTCTGCGGAACAGAGGAGGGTTAGAGATACTAAGTTCAAACACTTGGATTTTTAGATGTATAGTTGGAAAATAGCATTAGGAAAAATTTTCAAAACAAAAAGAAAAGAAGGAAAACACAGGTACCATAGTTTATGTAAAATGTGACACAATGACATGGCTTGAGTGGACGTTTTGCTCTGCGCAGCTTCCGCTTGGGTTCCCTGGTTTTTTAATGCACGGAAAAGGTAGAAAGCTGGTGGGACTTAACTTCCTGGTCGCAGGCCGTCTCAAATAAGACCATCATTGCAGGTACCGCTGTCAATGGACATAGGAATGAGGCTGCTATAGATTGCGAAAAGCTTTGAAATGGAGGTCTACCTCTCGAAGGCTTGCTTGTTTGTGAATGGCTTATGGGAACTGTCTTACGTTACGGGTTCACCTTTCTAGTTTCTACCTTGAGAAATTTGTTGGTTTAGGATGGCTACTTGTTTGGCCTACAGCCTGAGCGTTATCGAAAGCAGGGCGGGCTTGTGGAATCGTTAATCTGTGATGACTGGACTGTTTTCCACCTTTGTGCCTTTTTATGCTACGTGGCCAAAGAAGGCTTACGTTGTCGAACTTTAGATTTGGGATTAGTTTAGAAGTAGGACAAACGCGGGTCTAGCCCTAGTGGTATGTATGAGGCTATTTGGTTGCGATGGGATGATCATAACCTGGTCCGGGGCTCTCTCTGTAACGCCTGGGAGTACTCTTTGTTTCAGGGCGTATTTCAATTTTTGTTTGAAAGATGGCATTTTATTGATAGCGGAAGCTTGAATGTCATGTAGAGTCTTATACTTGATGGTAAAAGACTCCTTTTGACACAAAAACTAGCTTTGAGAACAGTCAGTAATTACGCAATTTCAGCTGCTAAAAGGAGATTGGCAGCACCCACAGCAACTACACAATTTCAGTTTTTTGGGGTATGTTTTGATCCTATTTGGCAACCAGACGCACTTTTGAAATCTTTTTCAGCACCCAGAGGAAGCCATGACAGGGCACGTATTGTTAATGGCTCCTTGCTGCATTACTGCATGAGGTAGCATTTTGTATATTTTCTGAAGTAATAAAATCTTATTTGATGCTTTTCAA